GCCCCTGGTGCTCCCTCTGCCATTTCGTTCCAGGACCCTCCGGCTGGGGGGTCGCACCCCTACTCCTTCACTCGGGAGGAGGGCCGGCTCCTCCCAGAACAGCGCTGCTTATAAGTCGTCTGCCCTCTGCAAAGGCTGCATGCCTCGGTCTCTGCTTTGCAGGGCACTGAAACTGGGGCACATTTTCATTTCTCAGCAAAGAAATATATGAATTCTACGTATTTTTTTATGTTTCATAGAATTCAATTCGCCACAATCTCTCTCTGAATCGGTATTTCATCAAAGTACCACGTTCCCAGGAAGAACCAGGCAAAGGCTCATTCTGGAGGATAGACCCTGCCTCTGAAAGCAAATTAATAGAGCAGGCTTTTAGGAAAAGACGGCCTAGGGGCGTGCCTTGCTTTAGAACCCCTCTGGGACCGCTCTCGTCTAGGTAAGGAAAAAAGACAAACAAAAAGACCTCACTTACTGGTTAGTAAATTTGCCTTCGATGTGTTGGTCAGTTTTCCTTTTCACAGTGAAGGAACTACCAAATGCGGTGTGGTTAAATGTGGGGATGGGGATTTGAACAAGAGTGTCGGATGCTGCCCACACGTTTCTTGAACGGCAGTCTGAAACGGCGGAGACTGGCGATAAAGTTTTACTTCCACTGCGCTCCCACGTGGCAGCTGTGGCCTCACTGAACTCATTGCACATTGTTAACGTGACCGGTCGGCATTTGATGAGCTGTGTGTTTTCCTTTCCCTTGACACATGAACAGCTCTTCCAAGCTGTATTCTAGCGGCTTAAACTCAAGATTGTTTTATATAATGTTAATGGCCTGATTTTCAAATTATACATTTTTAGCTTCATTAATAGATGCTCTGTTTCTAAACAAAAAAAAAGGACCAGGATGTAAGTCTCGGGGCCCCCACCTGCTTGCATACCGCTGGCTCCTGCTGCCCGTGGACAGGAGCTGCTTAGGGAGGGCACCAGTGCAGCTCCATGGCCGTGCAGCCCGTGTGGGCACGGAGCCCCAGTAGCTTAGCGCAGCACAGGCACACTGGCTGTCACAGCTGAGTGAGTCTCACGGAAGGTCCATCTCCGGTCACAGGCGTTCACAGGGAAAGTAGAGCTCCCAGAACTGTAGTCAGGTGGCAGAAGACAAATGGCCGTTACAGTTTCAAAATGCACGTTATTGAGATGACGCAGCGTGGTGAGTGCTGGACCTGTGAAAATCCACTGTCTTTTTTTCTGTAACACAGAAGTGCCCCAGCCTCTCCCAATCACGCTGGAGTGCTGTCTGCTCACTCCAGTGGTGCCCAGACCCCTGAGAGCCTGTCGAGGGAAGGTTCCCCGGCCCCCCTGGAGCCGGAGCCCAGCGCGTCACAGCCCAAACTGGCCGTCATTCAGGAGGCACGGTTTGCTCAGAGTGCACCAGGTGAGACTCTCAGAGAGGGGGCAGGTGTGGTGGGTGGGGGCAGGCCAGGCTCCTCAGCGGACACAGCAGTGGCCTTGGCTCCTTTGTACCTGGTACTTTCTGCATAACACCTGAGTGTTATAAGCTCTGAAAAACTAATAGTACTGTGAGTCTTAAAAAAACAAAAAACAGGGGCGCCTGGGTGGCGCAGTCGGTTAAGCGTCCGGCTTCAGCCAGGTCATGATCTCGCGGTCCGTGAGTTCGAGCCCCGCGTCGGGCTCTGGGCTGATGGCTCAGAGCCTGGAGCCTGTTTCCGAGTCTGTGTCTCCCTCTCTCTCTCTGCCCCTCCCCCGTTCATGCTCTGTCTCTCTCTGTCCCAAAAATAAATAAACAAAAAAAAGTTGAAAAAAAAAAAAAAAAACAAAAAACAAAACAGTGAACGTTGTTTTACGTAAACAGCTTCTATGGATGCCTGAAATAATTAAGAATCTGTTTCTCAGTTGCTTGATCATTCAAAGATTGTGAAAAAAAATCCCTCCCCCCAAAGGAATAACACAAATTAGACAAGCTAGACATTGATTGGCAGCAGAAACTGCCCACTTAATGACTAGGTGAGCATCTCACAGTTTACTTATTAAGTTGCAAAGCAGAATAAAGATGTGTGCCCTGAGGAATTTAAAAACAAAAACAAAAACCATAACAATACAGTGTGGAAATGTGTCTGAACTAATTCTATTATGATTCCTAATTGGTTGGCAAAATGTGTGTTTTTGGTGTTTTTTGGTTTTTGTTTTTGGAGCAAGAGCGTGCATGAGTGGGGGTGGGGTAGAGAGAGGAGCCCAAGCAGGCCCCGCGCTGTGAGCACAGAGCCGACGTGGGGCTCAGTACCACAAACTGTGAGATCATGACCTGAGCCGAAATCCAGAGTGGGACTCAGAACTGACCGGGCCACCCAGGCACCCACAAAATACGCACTTCGACACAGTGGGATTCCTGACCATGCTGGCAACAGCCCCTCCCCACCCCCACCTGTACCTCCTGTCACCAGCGTGTCTTTTCATTTACTCTGTGCCCAAACCAGGGAGAGCAGAGGTTGGTTGGCAGAGTTTGTAACTCTGTGTCTGGGCTTTCCGGTTCTCTCGTCCCCACCGTGAGACTTTAATGCTGGGGAGAGCGTGGCCCCCTTGACTGGGGTCAGTAGGCAGCTTCCTCCCATATACTGTGTTGACATTTTCTTTTTCATGAGGAAAGAGATGTGGGAAGAGGTGTCGTAAGAAATCTGAATAGAGCAAGAATTGCGTTTTTAGCAGTCAGATACAAGAGTTCAGTATCCCCGTTAAGATACTACCTTTTTCCCACCGCGAGTGACTTCACTATTATGAGGTGGAGGGGCGCGCCCTGTCTTACTCCTCTGTGTGCTGTGAGCGGGTGGTTGTGCTTGGTCGGTTCTGGGAAACGGTTGGAGGAACGTGGGTGCCTATGCCTCACCCCTGCTCCCTCAAACTCTGCAGGCTCTCCCCTGTCTAGTCAGCCTGTTTTAATCGCTGTGCAGCGGCAGCTGCCGCCGACGATCAAGCCTGTCACCTACACGGTCGCCGCCCCCGTGACCACCGCGACCTCCCAGCAGCCTGTCGTGCAGACGGTGCACGTCGTCCACCAGATCCCCGCGGTGTCCGTCACCGGCGTGGCCGGCCTCGCCCCGGCCAGCACGTACACTGTTGCCGGCCAGGCCGTGGTCACGCAGGCGGCCGTGCTGGCCCCTCCTAAGGCAGAGCCGCAAGAGAATGGAGACCACAAAGAAGTAAAAGGTAAAGCAACAGAAGAAGTCGCTGCAGGCAGTTTCTCAAGCTGTTTCTCAAGTCTTCCCAGCAGACCTACTCGTCCCAAGCCCCTTTCTTTTTGTTGTTGTTGTTTTAATTTTTTTTTAAGTTTATTTATTTTGAGAGAAAGAGATGAGAGCACAAGCTGGGGAGGAACAGAGGGGGGGGGGGGGGGGGAGAGGGAGAGAGAGAGAGACGGAGAGAGACAGACAGACCCCCAAGCAGGCTCTGCACTGTCAGTGCAGAGCCCGAGGCGGGGCTAGAACTCATGAACTGTGAGATCACAGCATGAGCCGAAACCAAGAGTCAGACGCTCCACCGACCAAGCCCCCCAGGTGCCGCCCCCAAACCCCTTTTCTAATTACGTAACGTCTTAGGATCTGCTGGCCACCTGGCGTGATTGCTGTGGCTTTCCAGTAATGTCAGTTGGAATTGTTTCTTTCCCCTTCCTTTTAATTTCAGTAAAAGTGGAACCTATTCCTGCGATTAGCCACGCCACGCTGGGCGCCGCTAGCCGTATCATTCAGACGCCACAGACCACCCCCGTCCAGACGGTCACCATCGTGCAGCAGGCTCCTCTGGGTCAGCACCAGCTACCAATAAAAACTGTGACGCAGAACGGGACTCATGTGGTGCCAGTCCCTGCCGCCGTCCACGGCCAGGTGAACAACGGTAAGTAGTGTCCTTCACAGCTAATAGGGTGCAGATATCGAGAGCAAAGATCCTTTGCTCTCCGTTTTATGAATGGTAGTGTTCCATACTTTGGTTCCGACTGTTAAATTTTAATTTTTTTGTCTGAGGAAATGTTTGCATTTCTAAAGTGTAAAAAACCTAATAGTGCTACAAGGTACCTGGCGGTGGTTGTGGGTGTCACCTCTCCTGGGGGTCTCCCTGGTGGAGCCATCTGAACGGAGATTAGCGTTTCTGTAAATACCTAGACAGCTAGAAATACCCCCCTCCTTGTGTAGATACCTGGGTGTGGCCTGGAAGTAACGGGAGGTTTGGGCACTGGCACCTGCCTTCTGAGATGTCTCCTGGGATACCTGTGCTCCAGAGTGTGTCTGACGGAAGCAGAGAATCTTGCTCTCTGCGCACATAGCTGTCCATGCATGTTCTCACATCGACGAGTAGAGAAGACAGGACAGACCAACGGAGCTTGGCATTTAGTTAGGTAGTTAGTAATTTAGTAAGTAAGTAGGCTCCACGCCCAACGCCAGAATTCAATTCAATAACCCTGAGATCAAGACCTGAGCTGAGATCAAGAGGCGGATGCTTCACCGATCGAGCCACCCGGGTGCCCCTGAGCTTGGCTTTTAAATGAGAGCGCAGAGAACCCCCTTTCACCCAGCCCTGTGGAGCCATGTGAGGCGTAGGGGTCCAGCTGGCTGTTAAGTCAACTCAGGAGTCTAGTGTCATCCTCAGAGCTGCTGTTTGAGCAGTGGGTCCTTGCCCAGGCGTACAGAGTCCCTGCTGTCCATCAGGACGCAGCAGTGGCCTGCAGGAGCTCAAGCAATGGAGTCAGGCTCGTGGTCAGAAGGTGCTCTCTGTGCCCATAGAGTTTCTCTGAAAAGGGGTAGAGAACAGAAGGCCTAACTGTGTTGACCTGCCACCTGTGAGCGATGAAGGAATGGAGGAGACCTGCGTTTGCCTATGGGATTCAGATTCCCACTCTGCCTTGCCCCAAACTCACTGGTAGAATAAGTTCTGGAACCTTTTCTGGGGAAGACTAACCACCTGAGAGTTCTTTGTTCTTATTCTTCTTATTTTTTTTTAAGTTTATTTATTTCGAGAGAGAGTGTGGGGAAGGGGCAGAGAGGGAGAGAGACAATCCCAAGCAGGCTCTGGGCTATCAGTGCAGATCCCAATACGGGGCCTCAGTCCCACGAATGGCGTGATCATGACATGAGCTGAAACCAAGAGTCAGACGCTTAATTGAGCCTCCAGGCGCCCCAAGAGTTTTGTTTTTCTAATGTCTTTGTTTTTAAATAATAGTTAACACATGCCAACCTGTGGATAAATGGACAAACTTGCAATCAGTTACCCATTTCAGATGCTGTCTTCTCAGGTTCTGTGTCCCCCTAAGTATTAAGAGTTGTGCTGGCCTTATTTTCTCTCTGAATAAGTTTGTCATTGTGGATGACGTTGACGCAGCAAACCTGTTGGCGCTGTGTGCTTCTGGAAGAAGGTGGCATTGGGAGGTGGCCTGGTCGGTCCTTTTTTGGTCTGAATCCTGCTCAGGCTGAAGCCATGGTTCAGCCAGTGATTCCCAGATATGATGTGCCTCAGAGTCCCTTCCTGAGCAGGTGTGGCCTGGGGGCCCAAGAGTGCATTTCTAACGCATTCCGGGTTGTCAGAGAACCACTGGTGCCAGTCAGGGGCCTCTTAGGTCCACCTGTCTACTGGAGGGAGTTGGAACAGCTGTGTATCCCTTTCACGTGTGAAAGTTGGTATCTAAAATTTTTCCTTACAGATTTAATAAGCAAAGGATTAAGTTTTCCACTGTTTTACATCATTCTCTCTAATAGTCTCCTGGCCCTGAATACTGCCCTGATTTGGCGTCTACTCTCAGAATGTATGAGCACCCAGACAGGCCCTCTTGCCCCTGTAACGGGGTCTTGCGCCCTAACAGATTTCATATGCGTGCCGACTAGTTTCTGTCTGAATACTGTTTGCTGAGCACATTTTTACTCTGCACAGGAGAATGTGGAATTATTAAAGATTTAATCGTGAATATAAGGGTTATAGAACCTGAGAAGACAGCATTTGAAATGGGTAACTGATCGCAAGTTGGTCCATTTATCCACAGGTTGGCACGTGTTAACTATTATTTAAAAACAACTTGGTGGGGCACCTGGGTGGCTCAGTCGGTTAAGCGGCCGACTTCGGCTCAGGTCATGATCTCGCGGTCTGTGAGTTCGAGCCCCGCGTCGGGCTCTGTGCCGACAGCTCAGAGCCTGGAGCCTGTTTCAGATTCTGTGTCTCCGTCTCTCTCTCTGACCCTCCCCCGTTCATGCTCTGTCTCTCTCTGTCTCAAAAATAAACGTTACCAAAAAAAAAAAATAATAAAAAAATAAAAACAATTTTTGGGGCACCTAGGTGGCTCAGTCGGTTAAGTGCCTTACTCTGGATTTTGGCTCAGGTCATGATCCCAGGGTCATGGGATCAAGCCCTTCTCGGACTGTCTGCAGACATCACGGGGCCTGCATGGGATCCTCTCTCCCTCTCTCTCAAAATAAACAAACTTAAAAAAACAAATAGAATTTTTAAAATTTATTTATTAAAAAAATTTTTTTAATGTTTCTTTTTGAGAGAGTGCAAGCAGGGGAGGGGCAGACAGAGAGGAAGACAGAATCGGAAGCAGGCTCCAGGCTCTAGCTGTCAGCATGAGAGTCTTACTGCGGGGCTCAACCTACCTAACTGTGAGATGGTGACCTGAGCCAAAGTCGGACACTTAACTGACTGAGCCCACCCAGGTGCCCCCAAAAATACAATTTTTTGTTTATTTATTTAGAGAGGAGAGGCAGAATGGGGGAAGGGCAGAGGGAGAGAGAATCTCAAGCAGGCTTTTCTCTGTTGTCATGGAGCCCGACTTGGGGCTTGATCCCACAACCACGAGATCAGGAGTTGATGGTTCAACCGACTGAGCCACCCAGGCACTCCTCAAAAATATAATTTATCTCATAAAATAAATTAAAATTGCATTAAAGATTAACTTCTTAATATATCAGGGCTTTAAAGAAAGCCACACAGTTTTTTTTATCATCACTGATGATCGCTGCAGGGTCAGCCTTGAGACCTTGTTCCCTCTCAGGAAAAGGAAGATGGAAAAAATACTGAAACTCCTTCCAGTTTTAGTCATCTTTTACCAAAAACCATTTTAAATTATCTGTTAGTGGGAAATTTTATTGGTTCTTCTTTAATTTGGTTGCAGTCTTTTACTTAGAAATCATTGGGGGCTGCCTGGGGGGGGCTCAGTCGGTTGAGTGTCCCACTTCAGCTTGGTCATTCATGATCTTGCATTCCTGGGTTCGAGCCCCGTGTCAGGCTCTGTGCTGACAGCTCAGAACCTGGGAGCCTGCTTTGGATTCTGTGTCTCCCTCTCTATCTGCCCCTCCCCTGCTTGTGCTCTCTCAAAAAATAAAAAACATTAAAAAAATTTTTTTTTAAAGAAATCACTGGTTTAGAAAAGGGTTTTCTCTCTAGTCCGTAACGATTCAGTGCTCCCAGACACCATCCTCCCCAGCGGCGGCACCCAGCCGAGTGGGTGCAGGAGGCGCTGTGGAAAAGGGGGAGGAGGTGGCAGATGAGCTTGAAGACTGGGCGAGGAGGGTGGCTCTCCTTACACAGTGTCAGCTGTCACTGAGGTGCTGCATGCCCTGTGACTGCCTTCACCCTAGAAAGTCACTCTTGAGAAAGGAAAGCGGTACCTGTTAATAAACTCTGAAAGTCAGCAGCTTTGCTTTTTTCTTTTAAGCTTTGTATTATGGATAACGTCAGACATTCTGGAAATTCTCTCCCAGCTCTTCCCCACCCAGATCCAGACGTCGTGTCATTTTTATCTGTTGGTATTTCAGCATCTCTGAAAGAATTTGCTTTTACTATTTTTTAAAATTAGCAGTAATTCTTTTATACTTAGTACTCCTTAGGATTCGAGTCTTTTTTTTTTTTTTTTTTTTTTTTTTTTTTTTTTGTCGTCATGGTAAAATATACGTAACATACAATTGACCATTTTACAGCCTACAAGTCAGTGGCATTAGGTACATTCACAGCATTTTGAAACCATCTCCTCTAACGAGTTCAGAAGCATTTTCATTGTCCCAGTAGTAAACCTTATACACAGCAGTTACTTCCCGTTTCCCTCTTACCTGAGCCCCTGGCAGCCACTAATCTGTCTCTGTGGATTTGCCTACACTGGACATTCCCTGTAGATACAGTTTGATACGTGGCCTTTTATATCTGGTCTCTCACTGAGCATCATGTTCGGAGGTTTATAGCATCGGTCAGTACTTCTTTATGGCTTAATGTTTCCATTTTTGTTGATTCAGTCACCGATTGATGGACATTTGGATTGTTTCCACCTCCTGGCTGTTGTGAACAGTGCCGCTGTGAACATTCATGACTATGTATGGTGTCCTCGTTTTCATTTCTTCTGGGTGTATACCTAGGAGTAGAATTGCTCAGTCGTATGGTAATTCTGTGTTGTTTATTGAAGCACCTCCAAACTTTTCCACAGCAGCTACATTTTACATTCTTCCGCTGATGTATGAGATTCTCATTTGTCTACATCCTCACCAACACGTGTTGTTTTCTGTTGTTGTTTTTCCCCCTCATGGCCATCTTACTGGGTGTGAAGTGATATCAGTGATTTGGGTTTGCATTTCCCTCATGAGTAACGATGTTGAGCATCTTCTCATGTGCTTGGCGATTTGTAGGTCTTCAAAGAGCTGTCTGTGTAAATCTTTTGTCCATTTTTTGTTGTTGAGGTGTAGGAGCTCTTGATATATTCTGGATACTAGGTCCTGACCAGATGTGATTTGCAAATATTTTCTCTCATTTAGTGGGTTTATCTCTTCACTCTCCTGATAGAGTCTCTGATGCACCAGTTTTTTACAGATTTAAAATAATTTTTTTTAAATTTTTTTAATGTTTGTTTATTTTTGAGAGAGAGAGAGAGAGACAGAGTGTGAGCCAAGAAGGGGCTGAGAGAGAAAGGGAGACACGGAATCTGAAGCAGGCTCCAGGCTCCGAGCCGTCAGCACAGAGCCCGATGCAGGGCTCGAACCCACAAACCGTGAGGTCATGACCTGAGTGGAAGTCTGGCACTTAACTGGCTGAGCCACCCAGGCGCCCCTAAAATAATTTTTTTTAATGTTTATTTTTGAGAGGGGGAGACAGAACGTGAGTGGGGGAGGGGCAGAGAGAGAGGGAAACACAGAATCCGAAGCAGGCTCCAGGCTGTGAGCTGTCAGCACAGAGCCTGACAGAGGGCTCGAACCTGTGAGCTGTGAGATAGTGACCTGAACCCGACGATCGGATGCTTACCCGATGGAGCCACCCAGGCAGCCTTCTGATGCACCAGTTTTTACTTGTGAAGTCCCCTTTAGTGTCTTGTGCTCCAGGTGGCCTATGCAAAGACTCCACTGCCACCCCTGAGGTGGTGCCCCTGTGCTTTCTTCTTCTCAGAGCGACAGTGTTCCAGCTCTTAGGTTTAGTTCTTTGATCCATGTAGCGTGAATTTTTGTATCGAGTGAGTGAGGTAAGGGTCTGACCACATCTTTGGCGCGTGGATGTACATCTGTTCCAGAAGAGGCCTCTTCCATAGAAGGTCTCTTCCATAGAAGAGACCATGCTTTCCCCACGGAGTGGTTTTGTCACCCTTGTGGAAAGTCACTTGACCTCCGATCTACGGGTTTCTTTCTCACGTCTATCTCCCTGACCTTCGCGTCTGCCTTGATGCCAAAGCCACAGTTTTGATTACCACAGTTTTGTAGGAAGTTTTGAAATTGGGAAGTAGGAGTCCTCCGACCTTGTTCTTCTTTTTCAAGATTGTTTTGACTATTCTGGATCCCTAGCAATTCCATGCAAATTTTAGGATCAGCTTTTCCATTTCTGCAAAAAAACAGCATTTGGGATTTCGATAGGGACTGCACTGAGCCCGTAGATTGCTTTAGGCAGTGCCGCATGACGAGCATCACGTCTTCTCAACCAGGAGCGTTGACATCTCTCCATTTGTTTAAGTCTTTAATTTCTTTCCACAGTGTTCTGTAGTTCTAGTGTAAAAGTCTGGCTCAAATTTCTTCCTGTTTTATTCCTTTGGAACTCCTTCCTATTCAGTTCCTTTGGAATTGTTCTCTTAATTTCCTTTTAAGTTTACTATATATACAGCTGATTACAATGTTACAGCTGATTATTATATGTACAGCTGATTACTATATATTACAGTCTTTTCTATATATATAGCTGTTACCATATATACTGCTGATTACTGTGCATTACAGTTGCTACTATATACATAGCTGGTTACTGCATATTACAGCTGTTACTATATACACAGCTGTTACAGCTGCTTTTCGCATGTCCATATTGTACTTTGCAACTTTGCTGAGTTCAGTTCTGAGTTGTTACAGTTTTTGGCTTAGGGGGTTTTCTTGTGTGGATTTATTAGGATTTCCCACATACAAAGATTAATTAGGTCATTTCCAGTAGAGAGTTTTACTTCCTTTTCCATTCAGATGCCTTGACTTCCCTGTGCCTGCTGGGCTAAGACTCCAGCAGTGTTGAAGCAGACATCTGGGTCCTGCTCCCGACCCTAGAGGGAGAATGTCGTCTTGCACTGTCAAGGCCGATGTTAGCTGTGGGTTGTCGTCTACAGACCTTATTATGCCGAGTTGTTTTTCCTTTCTGGTTTGCTGAGGAGCTGTATCAGGAAAGGGTGTTGAGTTCAGTCACGTGCTTTTTCTGTGTTGAGGTGATCATGTGGGTGTTTTCCTTTATTGCAGTGTGTTGCATGGCTCTTTTTTTTTTTTTTTTTTTTTTTTTTTTTTAATGTTTAGCTACCCTTGCGTCCCTGGGATGAATCCATCGGCTGTGGCATATAACCCTTTCATATGCTGTTGAATTTGACTTGCTGATGTCTTGTTGAGGAGGTTTATGTCAGTTTGTGTCAGGGACATTGTAGCTTTCCTGTAGTATTCTGGTCCGCTTTGGTTTCAGGGTGATGCTGGCCTCGGAGAGTGGATGTGGAAGTCTGGCCTGTGCCTGTGCGGGATAGCTCCTCTTCGCGGCGGCTTCTGGGGCTGTACCACCTGCCCCGCAGAAAACCCAGTGTGTTTCTGGCCATTCCTCAGCCTCTCTTCCCCCACTGGGATGTGGTTCTGGTCAGAGGTGCTCTGTCAGTGTGGGTCTTTGCTGAGACAGCCACCCCAGGCCTCTATCTGGGGGCAGGGGCAGCGGCAGCGGGTGTTGGGAAGAATGGTCACCTCCTCCTGCTGACCACGTTCTCTTGTGGCCCTGAAGCAGAAGTCCCAGGCTGACACTTCACTTGCTGTCCTAAGAGTCTCCGTCATGCTCACAGCCATCAGCCCTTCTCCTTGCAGAAAACGGCCCCCTGCCCTGTGCTGCTTTGAGGTGTTAAGAAGGTGTAAGGGCCTCTTGGGGACACAGGTGCCTGTGGGCTAGTGCCTGTGCTGTCTGTCGACTTAGCCTAGTGTCCCTGTTCACCTCCGTCTCCCCCGGGGGCCACTTGCAGGGGTGTATCTGGAGCCAGCGGAAGACCTGCTTGACCAGCTTAGCCTTTTGCCCTGTTTCCCCACGGGAGGCGTCTGCCCTGAGGGGACGGCGTTGCCGTCGTGCCCATCCTGTGTAAGGCTGGTGCTCTGAGGGACTTCTAGAGGTGACCTCCCACAGTTGACCCTCAGCGCTCGCCTGATCACTAACAGTTATTTGTAATCCCAGTCAGTGCTCATGCGTGCTCACGCACCCACGCACGGGGTGGATGGACACTTGAATCTGGCTCCTGCTGAGGGGCGACACGGCAGTGCCCCCTCTTGGGTTGAGCTGTGACCAGAAGCACATGCCCTTTAGTGCAGTTTTTCAGGGTTGGTGTTTTTGTTGGTGATGCTCCTGTTTAAAATGGACCCTAAGCATAGTACTGAAAAGGCCCCTGGTGTCGGAGGCACAGAGCTCTGTGATTTGCTTTATGTTACATGAGTTGCTTTCAGGCATGAGCTCAGTGTTAACGTGGTAGTAAGTTGTTTTTAACCAGAAACACATAGAATAAGATGTGTGTTAACCGGTTGACAGACCCCTGCCCTGTATTTCTCCCGGGAGGGTGGCCGAGCACAGCAAGGTCCCAGCATCCCGTGTCGCTCAGTTCCGGGCACCGATTCACTCTCGTTCGTGTCAAGCATCTTCGACTGTGTGGTGTGCGGGTCCCACTGGAAGAACTTGGGCTGCACGTCAGTGCCACCCCAGCAACCACACAGGCCCTCTTTCCTAACAGGGCAGGGCAGTTATTCTGGAATGAAGTGGAGAGGAACCAGGGTGCCCCCATTAATCAGGGTCGAGCCAGCCCCTCTGTTCCTGAGGGCATGGCCATGTGCAGAGCCCCACCCTGGCCCCCTGTCTAGGTCAGGGGGCCTGTTCTCCTCAAGACCAGGAGCTGACAGCTCTCAGGGTGCATGGCCGCTAGAGACCCCTAGGGCCCATCTTCCCAAGAGAATGCTCTCTCCATCCCCCTGTGTCATACACAAGAGGCCTTAGCACCAAGCATCAGGACAGGCCTGCCAGATGAAGTGCATGAGTCCGAGACTGCTCTGTGTGGTCACCCAGGGGGCGAAGATCCGAAAGACTGGGGCTGTCCACAGCTAGTCCGACAAAAATCGGGGGGACAGGTGGCTCTCTCATGAGCGTGTGACGCAGCAGAGATGCCACAGACCCCTGTGTGAAAAGGAGCCGGTGGAGATGGTCCAGAGATACAACTTGGATGGGTTCTGAGTCGGGTACAAGGCGGGTCTAAGTTGCAGAACTGCCTCCTGTGCCCGTGGTTCACCCGGGTGGCCCTTGCTCCATCCCAAGGTCAGGCGGAGTCTCTACAGCAGCCAGTGCGCATCCCTGGGGCCCAGGTGGAAGCCTGCACCCTCCCGGCGTCTTCTGCCCCTACACCTCCTTGGAGGAACCCGTCGCCGAGCGCCTGGTTTGGGGTCGGTCTCCCCGCCCCTGCATTCGAGTTCCCAGTTTGCCTTTCTGTAGCCTGACTTCTCCTGCCTTCTCTTCCTTTCAAGATACAGGCAACTCTGTGTCCATGTGACGCTTCCACTCCAGGACACATTCTGCCATCTATATGCCTCCCCTTCGTAGCTGCTTCCCTGGCTGTGTTTCCAGGTTCGGACAGGGGTGCCTTATGCTGGGACACTGATCAGGCTGGCGGTTCTGCCCCTTCCCTAGGGGGACCCAGCCCTGTCTTCTCACTCTAAGGAAGCAGCACTTTCTTTTTTCATGTCTTAGAGTTTGCCTGATTGTGCAAAGCATGGGCCGGGAGAGGGCCAGGGAAGGAGGGGGGTCTCTCTGTGATGCAGCCCCGAGAGAGGACGCGCTTGGTGGTGGAGACCAAGGAGAAGCCGCCAAGCCAGACCAGGGCACGTGTCTGCTTGTGAGCTCCTAGGTTCATGGGGCCCAGACGAAGATGAACCTCCCCACACACGGGCCTTTCCTTGTCGCGGCTCCCGGTTGGCCTGAGCCACACGTGCCCACCCCGCTCAGTGTGATGTGGGGCACGAGGGGCTTCTGCTCGGGGAGAAGGCGGGCGGCAGCCCCTTTGCCTGAGCCTCCCCCCGTGCTTCTGTGAAGGTAGCACAGTCTTCGAAGTGATAAAGAGGCCAGCTGTTGCTGAGAACACCCGCTCGTCAGACAGTTAACTTGCTATATAGGGTTTGCCCAGTCCAGGCTCCTGTGCCCCTGGCCACCACGGGCCGTACCAGTCACACACAGAAGCCAACCCTTTGGGCAGAGCCTGGACCAGCTGGTGCCCCGGGGCCCCGTGGGGGCCTGACGGGGGACGAGGGCGCACCTGAGAACGCGGGGTCTGACTCACTGTCTCTTTGCAGCAGGGGCGAGTCCTCTGCACATGCTGGCAACACACGCATCGGCGTCCGCCTCCCTGCCCACGAAGCGCCAGAACGGCGACCAGTCGGAGCAGCCGGAGCTGAAGCGGGTCAAGACGGAAGACGGTGAGAGCATCGTCATCGCGCTGAGTGTGGACACGCCGCCGACAGCCGGCAGGGAGAAGGGTGTCCAGAACTAGCGACTGGGACAGCTTTTCTTACTTTAATATCAACTCTGTGGTGCCAAAAGGAGACACTGCCTCTCACCGACACTCGGAACGCCGTCTCGGTGGGTAGAGGGCCCTGCGGTTGGACTTCACCTCAGCACTGAAAACACAAAACCCAGGTGGCCTTACGCTCCTTAAAGACAGAAGTCACACCTGAACAAAACCACATGCAACAGAACCTGGTTCCGGCAGCGTCTCCCCGCCCCGGGCTCAGCTGGGGACTCCGGATTAGAGGCGCGAGGTCCTGGTTGAGCCCGTGCCTGGGGCAGGCGGAGCTGCCGGGACAGGGCGGGCGCCGTCCCCGCTGCCCTCCCAGGACGCTTGGGGCTGGCGCTTGCAGAGGAGACCGTGTTTTGTTGTCCACATGTGGAATTAGAGTATTTTGAGGTGTACTTTCTTTACGAAATAATGGGGTCTTTGACATTTCAGATCACTCCATTTCTACTCTGGAAATTTTGGAATCACACAGGACTTTTTGTGTTGATTTCATTTGGGGAAAAGAAACAATGTAGTTTTGTTTTTGTTGTTTGTTTTCAGCCTATGGAATGATTTCCTTTTGTCTATCCTGTTAATGTTCAGATGGAGCTGCTTGATGACATCTGCAGGTTTTCCGTGTTAGAGCGGGTGCCGGATGCATTTAGGATGGACAGACAGACTGACCGGACAGACGGATGCCCGTGCTGGGCTGCATGTAGCCATGACCGAAAGAACTGCCGGACTCTCCGAGCTGCACTTAACTGGTTCTCTTCCCTGCTACTTTCTGTTGTCTGTTTCTTTGTGTTGACTTTGTCCCAGCATAATTTTCCACTCTAAGTAAAACAAGCCTCCTAAGTGTTGTGTGTGTTTCAAACGACAGAACTGTTCCTCCTTCATTTGGAAAAAAGATTCCGTCTTCTTCCACATACCCTTTTCAGACAAGTGTCATAGGTCTCTCTGTGGCACGTTCCTAGTCACGGCCACCGGCTCGAGGCACGGAGCCATCGTCCGACCAGCCGTCCACCCGGTGACGCTGCCATCTGCCCGGCACGCGGGGAGCAGCAGGTGCGGGGTGGAGGAGAGGCTGCGTGTTAACACGAGGGCCTTGGAAACATCCAGGTCCTTCTCTGATTTGTGACAGGAAATCCCCCTCAGCCTTTCAGAGCTGAAGCAGTCCTAAAGCTGACTTCTCTCCTACAAGACACAAAAGTGAGATGAAACAAAGGTGAGTGAATGAGCAGTAAGGGCCGCCCC